AGCAACTTTCAGACCCTTTTAGTGGCTTTTTCCAAAGAATATTCATACTGACAAACCTAGCGACTTTTTTGGATAAACCTTAGCTATGGTTCAGTTGGAAGATTTTGCCAGTCTCTCTCTGCGTCTGTTCTGTGCAGTGAGCGGCAGAGAAGCAGCGCATTCAGTTGGCCGCACCGCAGCCGACTCATCAATAAATGAGTACAAAACAGCGTTTCCAAGCACCTGTTGCTTACTGATTGTTTGGAATTATAAATATGAGCGTAGTTCATCTGTTAATATCACATGCACTTTTTTGTTTGTAGTTTTTTTTAGTTTGTTACTCAGACGCAGGCAGTGCGCTGCATGAGACAAAAAAGTATTATAGCCAAAACAACCGCATAGCTGCTCTTGTAGATGCATGCTGATTTTATCAGACGATGCCGCGATTATAAATGAGAGTGACTCCTGGTTAACATGTATTAAAAGGGGTCGTGTTTAGTCACTATTTAGTGTGGTATTTTTTGACAATATTCACTCATCATGACAATAAAATAGGGCATTCTAAGTCAATATACTGCAGTATTTCCTCTCTCAATCAGTAGAAAATATGGTTAACACCCGGTCATGCATGAAACCCCCCCCCGTCATATACCGTGAAACCGGTATAATTTTGAAAAATACTGTGATATAAATTTTTGGTCATACCGCCCAGCACTAATGTCACGCCAATGATGTCAAACTTGGTATTCAATCCTGACATTGCATTTGAGCTGAGTGAGATTTAAGAGCTTCAGCAGAGAGGACGATTTTCTGAATGAAATTTAGGCCTGTTTCGCATAGAAAGCTATTTCATGCTTTCAGAAGGCTTGGAATATTGCCCATGAGTTCCATAGACCACTTTTATGGTGCATTGTTTGTTTAGTCATTTTTAGAGCTTCACAGTACCCGTCCCTTCTCTCTTTGGTGTTCCAACAGAAAGAAAGTCATGCAGGTTTGGAACCACATGAGGGTGTTTTAAATGATTTTCATTTTAGGTGAACTGTTCCTTTAAGGAAGTAGCACTCTGTTATGTTTATGCGATAAGACATGACGTATATCGTTTTTTTTATCTGACTAAAGTGCTATATTTAGTTTTCTCATCAGCACAGTCTTAGGTAGGTCAGAATACCCTTGACCCTAATGTGTAGATAAAATTTCAGTCATTGTAAGCAAGGCCACACATCAGACCTGCTGTAGCGTGTTTCACTTTCACACAAAACAGCCTGGTGCAGTTCCCCTGAACTGGTAGCTTGGAGGAGCAGGGCTGCAGCCCATTGGCTGATGAGGTGCTTTTGGTTTGTGGTTTTTTCTAAAATCGGATGGAGCCACAGGAGCACGTGGTAAGGGCTTCCGCTAGCTCGGTTTCGTGCTGCTCTTCAACATGAGTGAAAATCAATCAAGCAGGGTCCCACAGGGATAGACAGCAGCGTGGTGCAGAGCTAAACAACCTGTAGATGTAACATACAATTTCACTCTTCTTGGATGCTCAGTGAACTTGAAAAAATTTAAATATTCTCCTTTTAAACATGCACAAAATTGTAGGTCCTAGACTTTCTTCGACAAGGCAACAAAAAATACACCTTTTTTTCTGACTCAATCCTATTTACTATATTTTTTCTTTTGAAAGAAACTTATATGTTTATTAAAGCAAGGATGCATTAAATTAATCAGGGGTCAGAATAGAACTTTAATAAAATATAAAAGTAAATAAATAAATTGTAATTTAATTGTATTATTTATAAATGACAATTGTAGCTCTAGACAGTCACCTATGGCTATGATTTTATTAATACCGTTGTCTGATTGATTTTATAGTCTCAAGCATTCAGAAATCTCACAAAATAAAATTAAGCAGTTTTACTACAATAAAACCATGGTTAATTTTAATAAGGGTTGTGATGTCCACATGTTTTTGTTGAAGAAATTAAAGAGGCTGTAGCATTTCTATCGCAAAAAGGTGGCCAAAAATGAAAAATTAAGTGGATATTTGAATTAAATGTTTGGTCAATATTAAACAAGGATTTGATCATCCTGTAAGTGTAACAACAGCAATTATCAGGCCTTCGGTGCCCTTTGCAGGCATTTGTAATAGTGCAAATAAAATATTAATTCAGATGCATTGTTGTTGGTGGTGAAATTATTACCGAAATTAAAACACGTTACTAACGTCAACAGTCAAAAAAGTTTCACAGGAACTTGAACGTAGCTACCTGAAAGTGATGCAGAGGCTTCATCTTGGGCTTTTTTATTTTTCTTTTCTCTGCACTGATCTCTTTCCCCTGATATAGCCTAGTTGTCCATTAATTATGATGATCATTTGTATTCAGCCACAAACATGAGGTGAGAGCGAGCGTGGGGCTTATACTGCCTACTGCGTTCATCATAAAATGCTTTTTTATAATTATATATATAACTGGGATGGTGCCCCCCCAGGAGTTGGTGCCCTACGCAAACGATAGGTAGCAGCGGTACTGAATAAAATAAATGAAATACCATGAAAATAAATAAATAATTTAGTTGGCCATCTCTCTTTCCACACTAACAGTGACTTTCAGATGTTGTATAAGAAAGTCTGTAGGCACCTAGACACCGATGTAGATGCACTATATGTATATTGACTTACTCTGGTAAGTGGAAGTTAATCTGATAATCTGAATTTAAATATACTTCAAGTTCAAAATGAGTATCACTTCTGCTGTGCAACTGTAAATGTGTTCCCAACATTTCTCATTTTTTTATGAGGCCGAGTTAAACACCTGCTAATGAAAAGGAGAAGTGAAGAGCGCTCTCTTACTCACTCACTCCAAAATAAGTCAAGAGGAAATCTGGTCAAGGTATAAGACGGGGTTGGGGTGGACTGCGTGTTTGTGTGTCTGTCATGATGAACCGCTGTATGTGATGCTTAATTTTTGACTCTACTGAGTCACGTCCTGACACGAACACCAAGTGATACAGTAAATCGCTGTTAATCATTGTGCTAAAATGTGAAGGGAGAAACCCATAGTTTCCCAAACAAGAGCGATTTTGATCTCGTAAAGGGGGGCGTTTTCATTGTGGGTGAGTGCTCACGCCCTCATTTGCTTTCAAAATTTTACTCCCACACTCACTCCCATACGTTTCTCTGATTTCCAAAAATGAGAAGCTCTCTTTCCTTTTTTTTGAACAACAATGGATGCTGATGGCTAATATTAGATGTATGACTTGCTGTGGCACATCCGACACGTCTTCATCCCTCCCACATCAGACTGCATACTGCACTTAAAAAAGGCAAATGCTGGCTAAAGACTGCAGTTCTTTCTTTCGTTTAAGCAGAAACCTACTGATGTCTGATCAAAAGTCTGCTGTCTGATAAAGATGGGGAAGTGAGGCCATTATGATCGCGTTTGCATTCACATACGTAGCTGTTCTAGAGCCTGGGGGGCAAAAGCGAAAGGGCAGATATAGAAATGGAGCTTGGGATGATAGATACACAGAAATATGCAAAAGCGTGTGCGGGCATATCAGTAGTAACGGTTTGATTTCATTTGCAAAGGACTATGGAGCGCTGGTGAACAATGGTGGTATTATTGCAGCCGAAGGGGGCCGACTGCACATTCAACATGTGTGTTCGCCACAAAAAATTGTCATGCAGAGCCTTTTGTTAATAGGCTGGGTTACACTTTATTTTGATAGTCCACTTTGCTGTAAGTAACTTTGCAACTGCATGTCAACTAACTCTCATCAGAGCATTTGTAGACTGTTAGGTAGGTTAAGGTTAGTAGAATGTTGCCGTACTTGCTAAGTTACTTATAGTATTATGCATTTGCAAGTGTCAGTGACTGTTTAATAACATGTTTTTGTGTATTGTATGAATCTGCATTTAAATAAACTATAATCAACATTTGAGCAAAACAAGTCAACAAGAAACCCTTTTTGCAACTGAAATGTAGTGTGGTGAGGGATGTTAATGGAGGGATGTTCAAACTTTTTCAGTGGACAAAAATGGCATAAAACAATTTTGAAATTTTGAACTTGTGAGTTAAAAATGATGTGTGCTTTACATTGTATGAGTCTATCACTCATAGCCCCATTTTCATAAGTGTAAAATTCTGTATCTAACCTGACTATAGCCGGCATGGTCTGTGACGTCAGCAGAAATGGAAGATTGTTTTGAAACAATTTATTATATTTAGGGCTGCATGACTTGGGGAAAATGTGATTTTTCAAATAAAATTAGAAATTAGAACATAAAACATAATAAAATTAGAACTGTGCTTGTTTGTATGGTACAACATTTTGTGATTATAAGTCAATGTGACTCAATAATCTCAATACTACTAATAATAAATACATACAAATATTAACCAAAATATCAATTTTTTCTAATATTTCACAGTAAAACAAATCAAGTGTTTAATAAAAATAATATAATAATTTTATTTTGCAATATAATTATATTATTATTACAATGGTGATAATTATGTTTGTCTTAATTTCTTCATTTTTAAGTGTTAAACCATCAGACTTTAATTTTGCCACAATGAGCCCCTAAAGCTTCTCTTTTATTGACAGTTGGTTTATAGCAGTTGGTTTAGAAGCGTTTCTCATGACAAGTGTGGTTGCATTGTTGCATGCCCAAATGCATGTTATAAGTGACCGAGTCACTCTGAGACACCATTTCATCACCATTTAGTTTTATTTTTTATCATCCCAAAACTTGGTTTTATTAATCGTGCAGTCCTAATTCTATTTTATTTTTAGTGTTCAGTGCTATATTTTATTTGTAAACAGAAGCCAAAAAAAATCACTCACTTTAGACCATAAAACTGCACGAAGGAAGTAAATACGACCACGTCAATCCATTTATGGCTGAATGGATACTTTTATCTTTGTGCATGCAATGACAAGTTTGTTTTTATCTGATGTGCTGTCAATGCTATGGGTGTGAAAGGAGTGTTGAAATAGCATCTAAAACTACATTCTCTCCCGTTCTTGTCTCATAGAGGCCTCTGCAGGAATGGAGAACGGAGGCTCAATGAACTTGCTAGACTACAGGGAGGCATCGTGGGAGAATGCCGAGAAGAACCGGTACATATTGTGCCGTTTCATCAACCCCAACAAGCTGACCTCATATCTGCGCCAATGCAAGGTCATCGACGAACAAGACGAAGACGAGGTGCTCAACTCTCGCCTGCTGGAGTCCAAAGTCAACCGTGCAGGTATTATTCAATGTTTTCGTGTCTGCTTAAGCATATACTGTAGAATTGTTGATGATGTGATACGGATCTGCCCAAGGTTGGTTTGTCTCTCCAATCGTATCGCAGGGACATCAACATTCCTAGATGCTGGTGACAGAAAATACTAAACACCGTGGAATATGGAAATGCAAATTCAATGCTGAAAACATTTACATGCAAATCACATCATCAATCAGTTACTCGGTCACCCCATCTTTCACTGTGTTTTTCCAGTGGTGTAATGTGATGATGAATGGACGCTTTTAATCCTGTGAGCTGCCGCTGTAGTTTTTCTTTCCTAACGACTCCTTCCTGAACCTTCGTATCATTTTTCAACTTCCGAACGGCCACAGGCAAAACGGATGACAGGGATTTCGTCCAAGCAGCTTGCTGAAGTCTGCACTGTTTGTTTGTCACAAAGCAGCACATCAAAATGCTTGTTTACCACAGCTGGGATTTTCACAGCTCCCTAATGATTTTCCTTTTGGGACTGGCACTTTGGCACTTATTACAGAAGATCTTTCAAGTACTTTTTGTGCCAGAACTTTCTCTAGTGATTTAAAATACAATACACTGCTTTCATCAAAGACAAATCTGGATCTGGATCTTTTTTCCTTCATTAGAACAGATGAATCGTTCACAATAAGATCACTATAACATCCATTTAGAAAAGAGATTTCCAAAGTAAATGTCCATTTCATTCCGACCTTAATATTTGAAATATATTAAGAAGTATGTATATATGGGTGATTCTATAATTGCAGGTACATTTGGTGTCCAAAGTCATTATTTTTCATCTAGTCATCATTTCAAATAGTTATATTTTTTGTTATTTTTAATAATTTGTTGCTCATAATGGAACACAAGATGTTATAGGCCATAACAATATAATATTTTCTGTGAAAAGTGTCTTATATAGCTGAAAATCATGATTTCTTGTTGTCTGAATTAGACAGTGTCATTTCTGTTACCATCAAGCTCTGTTACCAAGGTAGAGTGACAGTGTTGAGAGTATGTAACAGAATGGACAGTCATGCACAGAGAAGCACACACTCTCTCTCTTTCTCTCACATACACACACATGACTGTCAATTCTGTCAACACTGTCACTCTGCCTTGGTAACAGAGTTTGACAGTACCAGAATTGACACTTGACTAATTCTGACAACAAGAAATCATGATTTTCAGCTATATAAGACACTTTATATTATATTGTTATATTATATAGTGATCCAAGACAACAAATTATATATATATATGTATATACACACAGTATAAATTAAAGATGTAAAATTACATGGTGAAAAATTGACCAGAAATTATATATATGACATGACAAAATAATGACTAAATTTAGTATTAAAAAAACACTTTCTGATGATGATTCATCCTGATCACATTAACATGTACTATTTAAAGTCATCTTTAAAGGTCACATCTGGTAGAAATAACTTTTTTTCAGTTCAACAAGAGTAATGCTGCAGTGGTTTTTTGTTTCAGGTCGGTTGTTGGATATCCTGCACACGAAGGGAGAGCGAGGCTATGTGGTTTTTCTAGAGAGTCTAGAGTTGTACTACCCGGACCTCTACAAACTCGTCACGGGGAAGGAGCCTACACGCAGATGTTCCACTATAGTCGGTGAGACACTTTTAAATTAATGCTACACGCAGATGTTCCACAACAGTCGGTGAGCCACTTTTAAATGAAATGCTGCCCATATAAATGACCTACAACCATGCCTTAAAAATGTTTGTTGCCTTCCACCTGCTTCCCCTCTGAGATGAGCATCTGCCATAAATCCCCTTTCAGATTTGTGCAGTAGCCTTATGAACAATTACTGTGGTGCTACTATGGTACACTAATGGTATCAGATGATAAATGATTACTATACATATATATCATGATATTTGCACGACACTTCAAGAATAACAAGAAAATTGTTATGGTACTTTTTGTGCAGTAGTGTTGAATTGGCTGTATTTTGTCCTTTTCCTGTAGTGGAGGAGGGCCAGGAAGGGCTAATCCAGTTTTTAATGAACGAAGTCATAAAGCTTCAGCAGCAGTCCAGGGCTAAAGATGTGCAGCGGGTGGACGTTATGACCAAATGCCGCACGCTAGAAGATGAGCACAAGAAGCTTCGACTGGCCAACCAGGAGCTGCAGACTTTCCAGGAGCGCTACAATAAGATGAAAGAAGAGCGTAATAACTATAACGATGAACTTATGAAGGTGAAGGATGACAACTATCAGCTGGCTATGCGATATGCCCAGCTCAGCGAGGAGAAGAATATGGCTGTGATGAGGAGCCGAGACCTTCAGCTAGAGGTTAGAGGGCTTCTGCAAGCATTGCAGGACGATTCAAGTCAATTTTTGTCTTCAAAAATCTCCTATATTTACTGCTAAAAGTGATGGGTCACTCATATTTACACGAATGATTTGACTATGTGCGATACAAATGTTGACTGCTGTCTCTCCATTTCCTCTAGATTGACCAACTAAAGCACAAGTTGAACAAGGTGGAGGAGGAGTGCAAAATGGAGAGGAGGCAATCTCTGAAATTGAAGAATGACATTGAGAACCGACCTCGGAAAGAGCAGATATTTGAGCTGGAGCGAGAGAATGAAGTCTTGAAGATCAAACTCCAGGAGTTGCAGTCCATCATACAGGTGAAGACGCTTTTTTTGCATAACAGTAAATAGAAGACAGTGAAAAGCAAACAGCTGGGAAAGGTTGCTCAAAGTCAGAGATTTCAGAGTTGTTTTGTATGCTTGTTTTGTTTCTTTTTATGCATAGCCCGGGCCTCTACCTGATTCAGACAAGGCCATCTTGGATATCCTGGAGCATGACCGACAGGAGGCTCTGGAGGATCGTCAGGAGCTAGTCAACAGACTCTATAACCTGCATGAAGAGGTCCGACAGGCTGAGGATCTCCGGGACAAGGTTAGGACCAGCCTTATACCTTGAAAAATCATTTCAGCTTCAAGATCCTTTCCAAACAGTGTATAGCACCTACAGATGTTGGGTAAATACACCATTTTTAATTACTAATGGAACTAATGGTTGCTTTGAAAAAAAAAGAAAGAAAAAAGACCCACAAAGAATTTTTTTTTAAATTGTCAAATATCAAGATGAAATATATGACCGCTCAAAAGTTTGGTGTCAGTCTTTTTTGTTTGTTTTACTTTTTAAAAAAATACTTATTCAATATAATTTTAAATATAATATTCAGCAAGGATGTATTAAGCTGATCAAAAGTGACAGTAAAGATATTTGTAATATAATTAAATAAAGAATTTCTGTTTCAAAGAAACAGTTTTCTTAAAATAAATAAATAAATAAACTGTCATCAAACATCCTGAAAAAGAAAATCATGGTTTCCACAAAAATATTACATTTGCATTTACATTTAGTCATTTTGCAGACGCTTTTATCCAAAGCGACTTACAATTGGGGATACATAAAGCGATTCTTCTTAAAGAGGCAAACAGATACAGGAAGTGCTTGTAATACCAAGTTTCTAGACATTGTTCAAATAAGTACAAGCTAGAAAGAGAAATTAAACAGCACAAATATTTTCAACAATGATAACAAAAAGAAATGTTTCTTGAGCAGCAAATCAGCATATTAGAATGATTTCTGAAATATTATGTGATGCTGAAGACTGAAGTAATGATGCTGAAAATGCAGCTTTTTCATAGGAATAAATGACATTATAACATATATTCAAATAGAAACCAGTTATTTTAAATTGTTATAATATTCACAATATTGCTATATACATGCAGACTTGTTGAGCAAAAGACACTTATTTTTTTCAAGAACATTAAAAAAATCTTACTCACCCAAACTTTTGAACTTATTTAAACTTTTATTTATTTTTATTGTTTGTCTTTGTGTTTTAAACTATCCAGTCCTGTTCTTGCTATGAAAATAGCCTTTGGTGTTGACATGGCATTAAAAAAACAGGAACAACTTTGTGTCTGTATTTAATGAAATAATATAAGTAGGCTTTATTCATATGCAAACTAGATGCATTGCAACTAGCAATTACCTTATCTGCAAGCAATGCAATACATTTTTGCCAGAATGAGTCATCTTAGATGGCAGCATCACTTTGCTGCCTGCTGTTTGAAACAGTCTTACTACTGCTATGCGTGCACTGACTGTATTGTGCCTGAAAAGGCTGTCTAGGTAGACAGCTCACTTTTGGCAGAGACCTTAAGCGTCAGGTCATATTGGTCAATTTTTGTCACATCTCAAATTTATTTTTTTTAAATCTCTCATTGTATAATATGGTTCAAGAATATTTCTGCATCTCAATGTCTGACATTCTCAATTATTAGATCAATCGACCAAAATCTCCAGCTGCTGGACCCAAAAGTCCTCTATTCCAAGGTAGAATGTTTATTTAAAGAGCTCTGATGGTGCTGTGTGTGAACTTGCAGTTAAAATTTAGTTATTGTGTGGTAATGTTCACTGAATGTTTGCAAAAAGAATTTCCTGTGAGCTTGGTTTCCTTTCATCTCTCATTATATAGCCATGCCTTTCACCAATGGAGATCTGTTAGAACCTGCTGCCACTGACAACACCGGTCTTAACAGTGCCAGTGCATTGATTTCTCTCGGAGAGATCTGCTGTAAAAATGTAGGCTTTAATGCATTATCATCTGATTTGCATATCTCTCCATGTTGTTTTAATTTGAAGGCAAATGGTGTGTATGTGCTTGTGTCTCTTCAGCTGCGGTGCCGTAATGACAGTATCTTGTCCACCGTGCCAGAGCCTCCAGACCAGAACTCCATTGTCAGGAGAATCAAGGAAAACACAAACTCTCAATACAAATGGTAATTAAAATCAGAGCTCTGTGTAACATAGACACTGATAAAGGGGAAAGAGTAGACTCTCCATTATTAATGATATGTTTACCATAGTTATTCCATGGTAACCCTTTGTTTAACAGTGGTATTTATAGTAAGACCATGCTGACTTCCTATTTTTTATAATAATAACCCAACTAAATATTTTTATGAGACATGTATTATTGCTAAACATTTTAAATACATTTATTTAGTTCTTGCCATTAGTCTTAGATGCTGACTTGGAATAAATCAATAAAATAAATACTAACGGTAATAATGTAAACTACATAAATAAATATATGTAAATATAATAAATATATGTAATATAATTATATAATTAATATTAGTTTACCTTACATTCAGTACACATTCAATGAAAAATGTGTTTATAGCTAATGCTTTATATACTAGTTTTAGTGTAAAACAACAGTACTTGTTAAGAGTTTTTTGTAGTGTAAAAACTGGTAAACCATGGATAGTTCCTAATTATCATGGTTAGTTTAATGTGTCTGATTTGTATAACACAAACTGTGGTATTTGCTTTTAAAAATATTAGCCTAACATTATTTTGAAACTGGTGTAGTTGTAACAAAAAGTTAAATGGATATTGTTACTCATTTATGGATTATTTAGAATGCATTTCCACAAAAACACCAGTTGGTAACTATAGTAAAGTCATAGTAAATTGTTGCTGGCATTGTAGAGTAAAATTTACTGTGCTGTATCTCTCTTTCAGTATTCTCCCTTCAGACACTGCAGATACTGACAGTGGAGACAATGCTGACATGGGTATGAACATGCATAAATCATTTATTCCGCCCACTCACCACTGAATCATACACTTGAGTCTTTGTAAAATTGTCTCTTTCTTTACTATAGATGACCATGACTTAGACATTTCCTCCTACGGGCCTTCATCCATCCATTCATCTTCATCTTCCCACCAGTCTGAGTCAATGGACTCGTATGATCTGGAGCAAGTCAATAACATCTTCAGGAAATTCTCTTTGGAGAGGTATTTTGTTTGATTGTTTGATTTAAAATCATAGTGTTATTTACAATCATTCTTTGAGCACTCAGTGTGGTGAATCAACTTTCCATTTTGGCGATCTTGAGAAAAAAGTCAGTCTTCGTCGTCTCAATTCTCCTCACTGTGTACATCTATATTATCACTCCTCTTTGATCTGTGCATGTGTCCTTTTTCGTTCTCCAGACCGTTTCGTCCTTCGTTGACCTCAGGCCCTCCGCAAAACCCATTGCGGCCAGTTCAGAGCCTTTTACTCTCTGGAGAAAACCTTCTGTCAGACGTCTCTCTGATTGGTGGAAATGATAGTGGCATCTTCGTGTCCTCTGTCCAGTCTGGTTCTGAAACAGAACAGGCCGGAGTTAAAGTCGGACATCATCTTCTAATGGTGGGATTGAACTCCTGCATATGTTCCACAACCAAAAAAACCTAAAAACTGATGTAGTAGTAGTAATCTTTTCCCATTCGGTTTCATTTATCTCCAAGTTGGAAGGCAATGTTCGTGGAGAAGCTCATAGTGTGGCTTTGGACGCCTGCACCAAAGAGGAAGCTCACTGGACCCTGCAGAGATGCACCGGACAAGTGCATCTCCATTACAAGTCCAACTATGATGGTGAGTCCAGACCTCTCTTAAAAGGAAGATGCTTTATTCAAGAGTTTAATGTGCATAGGGGAGGTTAAAAGGTCCACTGTTTCAAAAAGTCCTATGCCACCCTGGAATGAACCTAATAACGTATTCAGACTAGGTTTGCTGTGATAGTTGGTGTTGACGTTTGTTCAGTTTGAGAACAGACACTACAATTAAAGATTAAGATTTAGTTTGCTTCCAAACTTTCTTATTAGTTTTGCTAATAAATGTTTCTTATATATATATTTAAACACTGTGTAAGTTATTTATTTTATATTAGGCCTAAAGCATGGTGCCCGCCTCCGCGCGATTTCCCTGTTGATTCTGCGTCGCGGTCCGCTCTGAACAGCTGAAAGCCCGGAAGACTCAACGCGCTGTCCGGAATGGCGTCTTTCAGCCAGATTTCCGTGAAACACAGAGCAGCAGAGTTAGAAAAATCCTTAGTTGTCTGGGAGAGCAGAAGGAGTTTCTGGTCAACTGTGGATCTGAGTCCATTTAGAATGTCAGTCAACACCTGACATTCTAAACAGTCGTAATTTAGTGTGTGAACCTGTCTTTGACCCTCAGAATTAAACAAGCTGTTTATTCTGCACCTTTAAGATGTATTAATGCAAATTACCTCTGTTATAATTGGCTAACCTCCCTATTACAGTAGTTCTTGCTGTTGTTCATCAGGGTTGCTGAATACAGTGTAGGTGTTTTGTGTATGGTCATATGTCAGATAAATCATAGTCATGATGTCATGCCATAGTCAGTTGTTTTTGGAATGACACATTTTTCATAAATTATCTTTCCATGTCTTCCCTTCTAATGAATTCTCTCACTTCTGTTTGTGCTCACAGAACACTCTACAACCTGAGGAGCCCACACCATCTCAAGATCCCAAGTCTAGTCCACGTCTGTCCAGAGCCAGTGTCTTCATCGTTCAGTTATTACAGGTAACAGGTCCCCTTGAGTTTGCTCACCCTGACATAGTGCTGAGGTCTTACTGCAGGTAGGAAAAGAGCTGAGACTTGCTGAGATTAAAAGAGATCCCTGGTGTCAGTTTGTCAGCAGGGTGGATAACAAGTACAAGAGGATGAACAGCAGTGAGCGTGTCCGCATTGTCAATGGAGGAAATCCATCATCAGTTTCCAGACCAGGTTTTGAAACACTAAGGCCTGAGGGTAAGACTGCCCACCCTCATCTTTACTTGTTTATGTCGAAGGAATCTTTCCAGTGAATGCCATGTGGCCAGGCTTCGTACTGTCATGAAAATGAAACCTAAAAATGTTAGGGAATTTTTAAAGCTTGATATCCATAACTGAAAAATTATGTAAATGTAAAAAAAATTTAAATAATATTTTTTTAGTTATGCTCTAAATTGTTTAATTAGCCTTTTTGAGCACAATCCCCAAACAATTATTTTCTAACTTGGTTAAAAGGAATGAGAAACCAATGCTTTCTTATTCACAGTGCCGCACATGTCCATTTCTAGTGTTTATGCTGAATTACAGTAAACTGCTTTCAAAGCTGACCCGTGAACTGTTTCTGTTTTTCAGATGCATCTGACCCAGAGAGCGACTTAAACAAGAGCTTGAATCTGATCCCATACAGTCTAGTGACCCCACAGCAATGCCAGCGCAAAAGACCCGTCCTCTTCACCCCCAACATCCTAGCCAAGACCATCGTCCAGAAGTTCCTTAATCTTGGAGGTGCTATGGAGTTCAATATATGCAAACCAGGTAAAAGTGGGTGGAGGAAGGTTGTCCTAATTATAGCAGCAGACTGTGGTGATGATAGAGATATTGTTCTGTAAACAGAAAAAAACAGTAGCTGCCATTATTAACTATAGGTCACATATATAGGTATTTATTTTAATTTGTTCCATGACTTCAACTCTTATGTCACAGGCAACAACCCACTCAGTCTATGTTTAGCACAAGGTTTTGAATGTATGTAAGAAACATCAGATAAATCCAGCTGTTGCATTTCGAAAATCATTATCAGTTATTAATGTTGAGTGGGTTGTCAGTAAGGCTGGGGGTAGAGATCAAATAATAATAATAAAAATAAAAAAATCTAATAATTAATGCAAACAACACATTAAAACAAAAAGTTACCTGAGAACAATGTAGTTTTCTGTAGAATGCAGTGGTGTTATGGCATTATTGGATGTTATTTTAAAAACTCATTAGATGGCATAATTTATTGGTAAACCCACCATTTAAGAACTGACTACTGATCAAGTAAAAAATGATGAATAATGCTTAAAAATTATGCTTATTGGTTTATCTTTAACCATCTTTAAATAATAAAAAATAATCAAGTAACAGGGTGAAATTGATGAAATTCAGTTTCATTAATGGTTCAAGAAGATCTGTACTCTTTTTTGCTATACTGCTGCTGAATCTGCAGTGTTGTGTCAAATAAGAAATCAGCTTTAGAGTTCAGCTAGGCACCGTAGTTAGATTCATGAATGAAAGGATATTTAGGATATCCTGTTAGCATATTCTTTAAATGAATCACAAACAAGTCTGTATGAGTTAATGTGTACTTAATTAGATTGTGACACTTACGTGTAATTACTGACTGGCTGTACATATGTGACTGTGTGTAGGACTACACATCTCTAGCAGAGTTTAATTGGAATGGTGCTTTAATAAATTGGGGAATCTTCAAAAGTAATAAAATAATAATAAATGGAATCTTTAAGAAACTGGAATTGATAATAGTAATTGTATCAGAACTACAATGTATCAAATCCTTACAATGCACTCCCTAGATGCAAGCAATGTTTTCCTTGACATGTCTACTTACAAGAACTATTAATTCATCTTCTTTTCAGACATTGTGACAAAAGACGAATTCCTCATGAAACAGAAGATAGAGCCCATCATTTATTTCAAAGAAAAGCAGGCCTGCACATATGAATGCATCACCCCAGAAAACATTGAAGCGGTTGCCTTCAAGGTACAGTAATAAATGTTCTTTTCAGAAGAATTTAATAATAGCTAAATTATGTTTTTGCTTTTATGTGCTGTCATTTCTTCTGCTTACTCATGAAGCTTGTCAGATATTTATGTGTTCTCTGTTTTGCCAAGCAGTATCATTTTGAAGTGCTTCCTCTTGGTGAGAGCTTAACCCGTTCCTAAAGACACGAATGGGATTGTCATACTACACCTAGCCCAACTCTTTAACTATTAGTTAAAGGGATAGTTCACCCAAAAATGAAAATTTCATGTTTATCTGCTTACCCCCAGGGCATCCAAGATGTAGGTAACTTTGTTTCTTCAGTAGAACACAAACGAAATTTGTTAGTTTTTTTGGTCACATCAGTTTACGTGTTACTGTAATGTTGTCTTGGCAGTCTTAGAAGCTTATTAAAAATTTGTATCAGTTTTTGAATATTGCGGTTGTAAAAAGTTTGAGTTTTCATTAGGGGTGGGTAGGGCTGTGTATCGACTTTGATACTTTTTCCGACCGAATTGCCTCGATACCATCGAGTATCGAAAACGTCTTGTTATTTCGATACCTAAAGGGTTAATCTCCTAAGGGGTTAATGACCTAAGCGTCAGTGAGCCAATAAGCCTGCAGCACTTGCCGGTGTGTTCGACTAGAAGAGGTGCGGTGCAGATCGATCAGTGTTTGACATCCGCGAGAGCGATTCGAAAGCGCACGGAGCAGTCTGCTCTCTTTAGCTCTCGTGGTACTGTAATACCACCACTATAGAGTAGCGCGGGAGCTGCGTGGAGTTCCGATCATATGCAGATGTCTGTTCATACTAACGTTACACGACCGAAAGCTCGTGTTATGTGACCATTCATGCAAACTGTAGCATCATGCTACATAAGACAATAAATAAGATTTATATTCCGCTTTTACTCAAAACTCACTTTAAACCACCATCGAGTGTTTGTAATAACTTCCGATTGCCGTCTAACAGGGCCGGATTTACGCATTGCTCAAGACATTGAGCAAATAAATATAACAAACAATAGGGTAAAAAATGACAAACTATTTCCATGTCTTCCACCTTTTTTATGTAGGCTACGGAAATCACAATTTCTTTCTCCCAGTCTCTCTCACAGACACACACACAGTGCAGACACGCGGAGACGCAAACAGAAACTTCTTGTCAGCGCTGCACCGCGAATTTATCAGTAAAATAGTTTCGCAGCTGAAAAGTTACATGACATTTCTCAGTAGCGAGGTTCATGAAGGAGTTTAACTTAAAGATTCGCTATTAGTAGACGCTAGAGGTGGTTATGTGGCCACGACTATATGGAATGGTCTCTCTCAGTTCTCAAACAAATTAAGAACTATTTGATTTAGCGCTTATTCCGATAGAAAACACTGTATCGGTTTCCACTGATTAAGAAATATTTTTGTTTGCTTGGGTGGTAATATTAGGTCTATTATATTAATAGGGAAGGGGGCCCAAAAATTTATTTTTTCTACGTCACGAAAATAGGTAAATCCGGACCTGCCATCTAATGTGTGTTTTGGCCATGTAATGTTGCTGAAATTAAATATGTTATTACCTCTGAGTCAGAGCAGCGATCATGGAAGAGAGAACACAAGCAGACAGCGCTGGAAGCTGCTAATGCTCATCAGTAAATCAGTGGAAAATAAATAGAAATCATGATTCTGTCTGAGCTATGCATTTTAAAACGAACACTAACTAGTGTAAATGTAGCCTAACAGATGTGTAAACTGAAGACTATTT